GGATTCGGGCGAACAACGGCCGACAACATAGGGCAGATCCTCCCAGCCATCAATCACGCCGTCATCGAGTTTGTCGAAGTTAGGGCCGGTCTGGACTTTTACGGGGTCCTCGAGATCCCCAGTCGGGATGATGTTCAGCATCGACGCGATCGTCGCGGCGGAGAGGATGTGATCCCCGGTCAACATCCGCACCCGAATCCCGGCGTGCTGGCATGCGATAATCGACGGAAGCGATTCCGGACGGGGCGGGTCGTAAATCCCCACAACCCCCAAAAAGATCAAATCGCATTCGATGGCATCGCGTAGGTGGACGTCCGAAAAGGGCTGGTCCGTCGGGATCGAAAAGAGTTGGATCCCTTCATCACGGTACGCAAAGCACAGGGTGCGTAGCCCTTGCCTGGCCATGTTTCCGACCACCGTGTTAATCCTTTCAATGTCGCCTTGGGTTATTAGCGTTTTATTACCTTTATCGTCGAAGATATAGGTGCAAAGCTCGAGAATGCGCTCGGGGGCACCTTTGGTGCACAGGTACAACTCCTCCTCGGAGGCTTTATACCACGCCATGGACATCCGCTTAATACTAGAATCAAAGGCGTACTCCGCAAGACACACCCAACCCTCGCTCTCGAGCTGATCCCGATTGAGCTGCGCTTTCCAGGTCATGGCCTGGACCGCAAGCTCAGTGGGATTGCCATTCCCAATAAGGGTGTCCATATCGTCGTCCGAAATCCGCAAAATGGTGCTACTACACAGGGCACAACACTTAAGAAATTCATAAATGTGTGGGTAGTCGGGGTACCTATGGTGCATCTCAAAGGCCTCCCCTTCTGTGCCGTATTCGTCGATCTGAAAGAACATACCGTGAACGTCAAACGGCGCGCCCGTCACCAGGTAAGTTTCACGAGGGCCAATAAAAACCTTCTTGACGACCATTTTATTCTCTGTCAGGGTCCCGGTCTTGTCAGAGCAGATATCCGTCACCCCTCCGAGCACCTCCAACACGGGCAACTTCCTCACGATACACTTTTTCTGGGCCATTTTCTTCATCGAAATCGTCATCGCCACCGTAATAACCGCGCTGAGGGACTCCGGGAAGATTGCAATCCCGACAGCCGTCGCGTATGACAGCGTTAACGCGCTGAATTCCATTTTATGGACCGCAAATACGACAACCCCCAACAACAGGGCACACACAAAAAGAACGTACATCATATAATCCAGTTTGACCATTAATTCCGTCCTTTCGTTCCCTTTGCTACCGCTCAGGTGCATGGAAAGTTTCCCCATCTCCGTTTCATGTCCTGCCGCGACCACG